CCTCAATGCCCATCAACAGGTGAACGCATAAACAAAATGTGGTACATACATACAATGGAATACTACTTGGCCAGTAAAAGAAATGAAGTCTTAATGCACACTACAATATGGATGAAGCTTGAAGACATTATGCTGAGTGAAATAAGTCAATCACAGAAGGACAAATATTGCATGACCTTACTGATATAAAAAGACAATAAAGTGCAAATGTACAGAGACCAAAGTTTATTAGTGGTTACCAGGGCAGGAAGTAGGCAGAAAGGGGGTGTTAATGCTTATGGAGTACTGAGTTTCAGTTTACGGTGATGGAAAAATCACATTGATTAAAGTCAGAGCTTCACAGCCAATTAATGTAAGTACTGTCAATAAGTTGTACACTTGTAAAAAGTTAAATTATCAAAAGTGTGTGCTAAATATATTTACAACAATAACAAACAAAAACAAGTAGCTGCTGAGGCTGCTTATGAACAACCAAACACCTCATGGGATTTGGTTTCTTGGTTTGGAGGTTTAGGGTCATGGTTTCACGAGACATCCCAGTTAATTGACCTAATGACATTTTTAGTGCTTCTGTTCGACCTCCTAGCTTGTTGCATAGTGCCTGGGCTCTTAAAAGCTTGCAAGCAGCCATCCAGGGCACTATAATTGGTCGATAATAGCCTAGAGCAACAGAGGAAGAAGAGTCAGGAATAGGAGAAGGAAATTTAATCTGTGGCTAATTGCCTCCGTGAACAACTGCCTCCTTTTTCATGAGACCAGAAGAACTGGATGGTGTCAGACTATCATTACTGAACACTTTGATCAAAAATTCTTTAGAAGAATCTTGATGAAAAGGGGGGAAAATCCAGAACAGAATTTCAAATTCTCATGGAATCTTCACTTTCTGGATCCATGGAGGCTCAATGACCCTTCAAAACTATTTCCCTGAGATAATCTTTAAACCTTAAACCAAAAATATTCCCTGAAGTCATCTTAAAACCAAACAATAGTTTAACTTAACTACTAAAAAAAGTCTGCCTTGAGCATTGTGCTTTTAAGATTTACCTACATGGAATCAAATTGACAAGAGCAAGTCGAAAGATTAGATAAGAAACTTTGAGGGCAGTGAGTTTATGTTAATGGGGAGGAAAACTTGGAAGGGATAACTCAGAATGGTTGCACACCTAGAAAAATGTAGTCAATGTCACTGAATTGTACATATAGAAATTGTTGAAATGGTATATGTTTCGCTGTATAGATTCTCAACAACAACAATAAAATAAATTATATGAGTGGCAAAAAAAACATACGAATAAAATGTCATAAATCTAGTAGTGGCAAAATAAAACAAAATTCTATTTTTCCTCTTCAGATTGGCAAAGATTAAAAAGAAATCATAATATACAGTATTGCTATTTAAATGGGGAAATAGGCACTCTCATAAAGACATGGTTAGTGGAAGTTTAAATTGGCACAACATTTGAGGGCATTACGATAATATGAATCAAAAGCTTAAAACTCACACCTTTTGATCCACCAAAATATTCCCTTTCAAGAATATATCATAGGGAAATAACCTGACAAATATGTAAAAATCTATGTACAAAAATATTCATTCCCATACTGTTTATAATATCATGTAACTGAAAACAACCTAAATATCTATTCATTGGGTTTAGTTACATAAATTATGGTACATCTATGTAAATGTAATACTATGTATCCATTAAATAATTCATTCATTCAACATTTTTTTAAACGCCAGGCATTTTACTAGTTGTTGGGGAGACAATAGTACACAAGACCCAATATATTTATCTTCACACATTTCCTGTCCATATAGAAAGGAAATTAAACAGATAACAAATAAACAAAGAAAATAATTGTATCTTGTGATAAGGACTTGATGGACATAAACAAGAGGCTCCATAATAGCAGGACTCAGATCTATATTTATTTAGATGTATGACTTAACTTCTCCCAAATAGGTGCATGTCAAGGATTCAACAACAAAGAATATTCAAATTTGTTTCAACATTTGCTTAATCTGTGCTGTAATCAATCAATCACAATCTCTTAAAGTTCTAAGAGTATAGAGAGCAGAACACACATGCCAGTCAAGAAGTATTCCAAAAGGGCAGACAATATAAATTCTCTGTCCTATAATCAACAGAGATATCACTGTCTAACTCTGCCTAAACATTCAAACCTTGTACAGCTCTAGTATAGCTCTTTGGATACTGACCCTCAACCATCTACTCTGACTCCTACTTTGTCTCTCGCCTCTATACTGGTCTTTGGTGGTATTTGCATCATATCCTTTTTTATTAGATTAAACCACATGAAATTGCTGACATATAACCATTTTTCACCATCGAAAATGACAATTTCAAATGGTTTAATTTAATACATATATATATATATACACATATATACATACATATACTGTTTAATTATTAAAATTCTATAGGGTCGCTATGAGTTGGAAATGACTCAACGGCAATGGGTTTGGTTTTGGATAATACATTTTACTCCTCTCTGACTAAATGCTGAACTACTTTTTTGGCTCACCAAGTCAGATGTGTTGTCCCACTGCTGCCCATATTGCAGGTACTACAAATGAGAGACATGATCTGACATCAGTAATGGACTCTACTTAAAACCCTAATGGATAACCTACATATTTTCTTCTCAAGTCTGATGTTTAGAATAAAATGATAGAATTTTATGCTTTATTTTCATCATATCACTTATCTTCATGGGCATCCTACAAGGAAAGAGCATAGAAAGAAAGAGTATTCAATTGGATATTATCCAAGAAAGACCTATTTCTAAGATTTTTTTTCGGGGGGGAACACTAAAAAGCCTTAACTATGAATTCAAAGGCTATGTACTATGACCTCTGGGTCAACCTAGAAAATGGAGAGATGTTCATCAAATTTATTGTACAAATTGCAATATTTATAGAGATGGCAGTATAGTTTAGCCACAAACTTTTGAGTCTGACAGGTTCAAATCCTTGAACAAAATTGAGTCTCCGTTGTCCTCACCTGCAAAATGGATGTAAAAACTATACCTACCTCAAAGAGATATCAGGGTGATAAAGGAGATAATGCAAATAAAATGTACTTAGTACAGGCAGGCACATAATAAATACTCAATTCACAGTTTTATAGCTTCTCAAAAATATTTCTATTATTTTAGCCTAGTTCTCCAATAATGAGATAGGACCTGGACACTAGATCCTCAACATAGGTAGACCTCTGCAAATTTGGGTAAGGAGAAACAGAAAATGCCTTGCTCTAGATTCTCAATGTAGGGGCCCAGTAATTCTGCATTAGGTAATACTTTCACTTGTCAACTACCTCTTGGGCCCTTCAATCCCAGTGGACATACAGACAGCCAACTGAGGTAGACAGTGAATGACAGGGCAGAGAAGAGTCCCACCCCACTCCCCAAATTGCATTCAGGGAACATTATTTTCTATGTGTAGAGGAGAAACACTTAGTATAATTCTTAATGTACGACATATCCGTTTATAATTTGACCTTTTAAGACTAAAAAAGCATTCCCCCATACGCATTAAAAACTTTGAAATATAGAGTGGATATAAGTTCACCTGAAACCTTTTCACTTGGGCTTACCACAGCTATAAGTACCTTCTTCTAGCCATCTGTTGAAGCAGCTGCTGAAAGGCAGGGGCAGAAACATGGGCTTGGGTTGTCCTCAGCTAAGGTGAAGCTGATGCTCAGCAGCTGCCTAAAGCTACTGCATGGCAGCCAAATGAGCGTGAACCTACATGGCAAATATAGGATAAAACTTGATGTTTTCTATATAAGAATTCAAATTATCAACCTCTAAGCCAGGTCAGAAAGACACTGTGAGCTCTGGGAACTTTGTCGTTGAGAAGATTCCTATGTTCTCTGTTCCAGAGTCCTAAGGGCAGCCATAGTCTGCAGCACCTGTAGCTGACAAGGACCCATCATTCAAAGTGTGCTGCGGGCCTACTGTGACCACTTTGGGTACTAGGATGTTGACTGCAATTAGCATTTGTAGGATCCTCTTTCTTCATATCTGAACAAGTTATTCATAAACACAAGAAAAATTATATGTGACTAAATACTGATCATTGCTTCCACTTTCCTTTCGTCACCTAATTCTGAAATTATATCCCCACCCAGACAAAAAGTCAGGATAGCCCAGGGAAAATATCTCATGTTGCAGGGATCAGATCCCAACTCTGTGTTTACAAGGTATATGACATTGGGCAAGTTACCTTTGTTTAGTAATTTCTAAAGTGAATATAATAACAACGCCTACTTCATAAGGTTCATAGATAGGTTAGATAGATATATAGATGGATGGATGGATGGATGGATGGATAGTACTTGACAAAATGCCTGAACCATATAACTCTGTTCAACAAATGTTGGCTCTTTTTATTATTTGTAATTATTATCTGTCTTAGTTCCATCAAGATCCCCTTTTTGTCAATTAGCTCTAGCTCTGCATCATTCCTTATCCTTTGATGAATCCTAATACAGCAAATGTTGGCTCCTAATGGACTAGTCACTTCCACATATCAAGGCTGATTTACTATCGGAGCCCTGGTAGTGTAGTGGTTAAGAGCTCAGCTGCTAACCAAAAGGTCAGCAGTTTGAATCCACCAGCCGCTCCTTGGAAACCCTATGGGAGCAGTTCAATCAGTAGGGAATCCTATTTTTGTGGAAAATTCCTCAAAGGTCAGGGTCTTCATTAATTTTTTCTACCAATCTGACCAGTTATATCCCTATTAGCTGGTGCACAGATTCATGTATTGCTGGAATTTAAGTTGGTGGTATGGCTCCCCTTGAATCAGCACCCCCCCCCAAAAAAAAAAAGGCCACTGCTGTCCAGAGAAACCCTTTCTCTCTCTCTACTCCAGGATAAATGGAAAGAGACATTTTATAGATGGCCCTATCTTTGGTTGCATGCCACCCAGAAGCACTCATTCATTACTAAATTTAAAATGACTCCATGGTGTTCGCTTCAGCAGCATATACATATTATAATTGGAATCATTCAGAGAAGATTAACATGGCCTCTGCACAAGGATGACACAAATTCGTGAAGCATTTCATAATTTTGAAACAGGCACTTTCATACATTGTGCTGAAAGTGAAAGTGGTAAAACTTCTATAAAGATGAATCCAGCAATACCTACCAAAATTATAAATGTATTCACCCTTTGATTCACCAATCCCAAGTCTAAAAATCTATCCTTCAGATATACCTGCACACATATAAAATGGTGCATTTACAAGGCTTTTGAGTGGACATTGTTTCTGATTGCAAAGGACTGGAAAATTATAAAAGTCTATCAAGAGGAGACAGATTAAATAAATTCCATTACATACAATGGAACATAATGCAAACAGAAAAAAATGAGGATGCTCTTTATGTACTAATATAGAAAAATATCCAAATATACAATATAAAATATCTTGTTTCAAGTTATATAACAGTATATATCTTATGTACCTTTTCTATAAGAGGGCATGAGAATATATAGTCACATATGCTTATATTTGCATAAAGAAACAAAATAAACTATCAAAAACTATTACCTATAGCAGAGGTTGGCAAACTATGGCCAGCAAGCCTACTGCCTTTTTTCATAAAGTTTTATTGGAACATATCCGTTTGTTTCCGTATTGTCTATGGTTGCTTTTAAACTGCAAGAGGAGAGTTGAGTAGCGGTAACAAATGCTATATGACACGCAAATTTACAATGTTTATTATTTGGCCTTTTACAATAAAAGTTTGCTCACCACTGACCTACATAGGGTGGAGGGAATGGATAGGGCCAAGGGGTAAACAATATTTGTCAATGCACATACTCTTTTATATTGCTTTGATTTTTGAGCTATATGAATGAATGTATTACCTATTTTAAAAAATTAAAATGAAAACAATATCAATAAAACTTAGCTTCAGTCTTCTGGGTAGCAAACAAAAAATAAACTGAGAGCAGGGATTTGTGTATGTGCTTGGAGTAACCTTATTTATTTCTCCTATTTTTATGATTTTTTTCTTATTATACTTCAGGTGAAGGCTTACAGAACAAATAATTTCTCATGAAACAGTAGTACACATATTGTATCATGACATTGGTAAACAACCCCACAACATGTCAACCCTCTAACTTCTCAACCTTTTTATTTGGTGAAAATACACATAGCCAAAGATATACCATTTCAAAAATCACTACATGCACAGTTCACTGACATTGACTACGCTCTTCCAATTGTGCTGCTATTCTCACTTACGATGAAGGCTTACAGAATAAAATAGTTTCTGATTTAACAGTTACTATACATGTTGCCCTATGACAATGGTTAACAATCTCACAACACATCAACAATATCCTTACTCAACCTTGGGTTCCCTATCAC